GGTCTGGAAGCTCAGTCCTCACCTCCTTCTACAGGTGTGCAGTGGAGAGCATCCTGTGCTCCAGCATCAACATGTGGCATGGAGGCTGCACAGCTGCAGAAAGAAAAGCTTTGCAGAGAGTGGTGAAGGCTGCACAGAAGATGTTGGAGTCAGCCTCCCCACCATCACAGACACCTACACCTCCAGATGCAGGAAGAGGGCCACCTGCATCATGAAGGACCTCACTCACCCAGCACACACACTTTTTGCCCCACTCCCCTCAGGAAGGAGGTTAAGGAGCATTAAGTGTAGAACCACTAGACTGAGGAACAGCTTCTACCCTGAGGCTGTTAGACTCATGAATCTCTAACTAGAATAATCACTGTGAAAAACCATATGTTGCTGCTGATCTGTTTCATGTTGCTGCTGATCTGTTTCATGTTGCTGTTGATCTGTTTCATGTTGCTGCTGATCTGTTTCATGTTGCTGCTGATCTGTTTCATGTTGCTGCTGATCTGTTTCATGTTGCTGCTGATCTGTTTCATGTTGCTGCTGATCTGTTTCAATGTTGATGTGTTCATGCGTGCACATCTGCTCACAGACTCATGTTCATGTTTGTGCTGATGTTCAATGTTTTATGTTATGAGTGCTTAGTGTATATTTAGTTGATGTTTTTCTTAGTTCATATCTTAGATGTTATTACTGTTTTTTCTTATACATTTTATTGTTGGATGTAACTGGGACCCTGTGGACATAATTTCATTCCACCACATGTACCACATGAGGTGCGAATGACAACAAAGAATCTCTGACTCTGAATGTATTACCTAATGTAATGGTCTACGTGTCTTGAAGTCTGCGTACCATATGTATATTTTCTGTAATACATTAATAGTGTCGTTCCATTTTAATGACCGATGCTGCAGATAATACATGTTTTTATTGTGTTTACTCTGTGACACAGTTCACACCTGGACTTGTGTCTCTGTGTCAGAATTTCAGGGATGACCTGCAGAGTTAAATGTCATTAATCAAAATCAGAAAGAGGAACGATTATACCTTTGAAAGTTTTTATTTAACACACATCAAAACCAATGTGTCATTTTAACTGCAGTAAACATGTTTAAGTAAAAGTTGTCTGTCTGAACAGAAGGAGCATTAGACACAACTAAAAAAGGAACAGGCTCTGATCATTTCAACTCCAGTTAAAATATGTCTATTCAACCTTGTAATGGGTCAATATTGAACAATATTTTAACTTCCTGACACCATTTTTAAAACTTGGACCTGAGTGTCGAGACATTTGGAGACATCTCTTGTCTCCTAACATCCCATCAACTGACACATTTTAATGTTGCAGCAAGAAGTTCTTGTTCAAGTTCAGAAGAAGTTGGTTTTCAAAGATTCTTGAGTCCAGTCTGTCTCTTTTGGGAGAGAATCTGTCCTGTTGTACTGAGCAGTCTTTCAATAAGGCCCTGGGTGCAGCGTATCTTCTGGCTGACTCTCTTGAGGTGGAATACATTCAGTGTGTGTTAGTGGTGCTGCAGGTGCACCCAGCTCAGTGACGTATATAGTAGATTATATGTCATTGGTCCAGCTCTTCTTGAAGGCGGGCCTAACGTTACCTGCCCACTCTGCAGTGATTCAATGGACCAGCTCCTCTCATCATTAGTTACTTTCAAAGTAACAAACAAATCAAAAAGCTGCAACATGAATGTAACTTGTAATGCAACACGTTATAGAACTGTAGTGTAGTAGAAAGTACAGATATTTGATGTAAAATGTAGTGGAGTAAAAGTATAAAGTACCCACATTTAACACTACTTAAGAAAAGTACACATACATGACAAATGTACTTAAGTACAGTAACAAAGTATTTGTACTTAGTTATATCCCACCACTTCTCCCAGAACAGGTCTCTCTTGAAAATGAGTTCTCCTGACTCAATGAGACTACCTGGATAAATAAAGGGTAAATGAAATAAATATAAAACCTCAACTATATAACAAACCTGGTCTTGTGTGGGGTTTTTCTTACACAGTTTTGTGTTTTATTTTTAATCGCTGAGGGAGTCAGTGCTTTTACAACTTTTGTCATGTTCATTTTAGCCTGGCAAATATCAGTCTCCTGGGGTTATCTTCAAATGTTGAACTTTGTTGGTAAAACCAATGGAGTTGTGTATGGGATGAGGTGTGTTTCCAACAAGAGGAGCTAAAATACCAGCCAGATGATTCCGATATGTGGATGACACCTGGGTCAAAATCCAAGCCAAGGAAGTAGAAGCGTTCACCAGACACATTAACTCGGTCGATAACAACATCAAGTTCACCAGAGAGGATGCAAACGACAACAAACTGCCTTTTTTGGACTGTTTGGTTCAGATGGAGAGAGAGGACAGCCTCAACATTGAAGTTTACAGAAAACCAACCCACACAGACCAGTATCTTCTGTTTGACTCCCACCATCCACTGGAACACAAACTCTCTGTCATCAGAACTTTACAGCATCGGGCCAAACACATCCCCACAAAGACAGAAGGGAAGGAAAAGGAACAGAAACACATTCAAGAAGCTCTGCAAACATGTGGATATCCTAACTGGGCTTTTGTCAAGTCAGTGAGGAAATCTACAAAACACACCAATAAACAGAAAAAGGAGAAGAACAGACGTAAAAACATTGTCATCCCTTATGTTGCTGGAGTATCAGAGAAATTCAGAAGGATCTTCAACAAACACAACATCCCAGTACATTTCAAACCCAGCAGGACTCTCAGACAGAGGCTGGTCCACCCTAAGGACAAAACACCCATACACAAACAGAGTGGTGTAGTGTATGTGGTCCAGTGCAGCGAGGACGGTCCAGACCTCTACATTGGAGAAACTAAACCGACACTGGCCAAAAGGATGGACCAGCACAGAAAATCAACATCATCAGGCCAGGACTCTGAGGTCTACACTCATCTCCAGGCCAGCGGTCACTCTTTCAGGGATGAAGATGTTCACATCCTGGACAGAGAGGAACGATGGTTTGAGAGAGGAGTAAAGGAGGCCATCTTTGTGAAAAGAAACCGTCCATCATTAAACAGGGGTGGAGCCTCCAGGTTCAACTGTCCCCCTCTTACAATGCTGTGATTGCTAGTATCACTCAGCCCTCTGTGAACAGTAAACAGCATCAGGGTGCTAATGATCCATTGTTAGGCTGATGGTCCTTCTTGAGCATGTGATCAGCTGGTTCTGGTTGTCAGCAGCAAAACTGGTTGATCCACTCTGAGAAGGTGCTATTTAAGAGACTGAGCTGAAAACAGCACCTCAGACTGAGGAAGTCTCTCGGATGAAAGACGAAAGGTTTCTACATTTTTAAAAATTATTATTATTATTTTTTTTTTTTTTGAATGTCCAGAGGACCAGATTTAACTTTTTTAGAATAAGAAGAAACATTTCAAAGCTGCAACATTTTGCTGACTGGTAACTGCATGAATGCAGCCAGCAGGTTTGTAAATGTGAACTAATGGTGGGTTTTGTCGTTGTGCCTCTGCAGGTGACATGGTGAGATTTTATTCCTCTGACAGTAAACGCGTAGCTGAGATTCACACAGACCAGTGGGGGCACAGATCTGAACTGGTTGCACAACACGACATCGGTCCAGTTGGCTTGTCTAAATATTGTAGCTCCTGAACGGGCCTGTCTCCATGTGTTCCCAGTTTCAATCTTTGCTCTTTGAAACAAAGACACAAACTGTCTAAACAATTGTAGTTTTTGATGCTTCTAAGAATTATCAAAATCCTCAATAGGTTGATTTCTGCAGACGGTCTGAGGATTAGGGTTAGTTACTAGCCCTATTATACTGGTGAAGCTTCTCAGTCATCCAGGACATGATGAATTCAAAAAGCGTTCAATACAAAAACAACTGGACTTTGTTTGTAACAGAAGACGTTTCGCTCCTCATCCGAGGAGCTTTCTCAATTCAAAGAGCAGAGAGTGAGAGATTCAGGTTATAAGGCTGAGTGAGATCAGACACACACACATATGTAGATTTGACAAGTCACACCTCAACACCTTAACAGTAGGGGTTTCTTAAAGTCTTTTGTTCCTCTAATTCACAGACGAGCCCCCTCTGTTCCCATCAGGTGTGAAAACTGGCTGGGAATCAGTCTTAAAGTTGCATTATAGTTTTTGAAAGTGGAAATCTGAGGCCTTCTCCTCTGTTTAGAGACGGCTTTTCTCTTTTTACATAAATTGCTTCCTGATATAAGAATGATTATTTTGATGCTTTTATGTCAATTTATACTTATTTTATACTCATGTTATATTCAGCTTATCTGTGCAAATCAGGCCTTGTGCTGCAGAAGGTGATGTGCTTCGAAAGAATGAAAATAAGCCTCCGGGAGTGTTCTTACCGAAAGATTTGGCCCATCTGGCGGTTACAACGACCCGGAGTTTGCTGTAAACAAGTCTTTCATCCATCAGGCTCGTACGCCACGGCCTTGGGTTTGAAAGACATGTTTTTATGAGCCATCGCTCTGCTGTACAACTGCCTTGATGATGGTAAATGTTTTGCTCTGCCCGCACGTCACCCAGCCAGAGGGGGAGTATAAAAGTGTAACACTCAGAATAAGAGTTGAAGTCTGCTGTGGATCCTGATCCGATGCCCAGCCTGAATTGATGTTACCTTTTCACTCGGACTGAAATGGCTTTCCGGTCTGGTGTCACGGTGAGGGGCTTTTTACATCAATATCTGATTTGTACTGAATGTACTTTTGCTTCACTGTACCTGTGGCAGTTTAATAAATGACACTTATTATTCTAGCAGAAACAGCCCGTGAGTTTTTATTCATTGCTTTGACCTTTCCCTGAACCTGTATTTTTGTTTAAGATAATTTCATAGAACACCTCCTTCACCCCCCTCTCAAACCATCTGTGTTGTCGGTCCAAAATGTGCACATTTTGGTCCTCAAAAGAGTGTCCTTTCTCTGGGAGGTGGAGGTGAACAGCTGAGTCTTCTCCTGAGGAAGTAGCTCTCCTGTGTTGAGCCATGCGTCTGCGAAGAGGCTGTTTAGTTTCTCCAATGTAAAGGTCTGGACAGTCCTCGCTGCACTGGACCACATACACTACACCACTCTGTTTGTGTATGGGTGTCTTGTCCTTAGGGTGGACCAGCCTCTGTCTGAGAGTCCTGCTGGGTTTGAAATGTACTGGGATCTTGTGTTTGTTGAAGATCCTTCTGAATTTCTCTGATACTCCAGCAACATAAGGGATGACAATGTTTTTACGTCTGTTCTTCTCCTTTTTCTGTTTATTGGTGTGTTTTGTAGATTTCCTCTCTGACTTGACAAAAGCCCAGTTAGGATATCCACATGTTAGAAGAGCTTCTTGAATGTGTTTCAGTTCCTTTTCCTTCCCTTCTGTCTTTGTGGGGATGCGTTTGGCCCGATGCTGTAAAGTTCTGATGACAGAGAGTTTGTGTTCCAGGGTATGGTGGGAGTCAAACAGAAGATACTGGTCTGTGTGGGTTGGTTTCCTGTACACTTCAATGTTGAGGCTGTCCTCTCTCTCCATCTGAACCAAACAGTCCAAAAAAGGCAGCTTGTTGTCGTTTGCATCTTCTCTGGTGAACTCGATGTTGTTATCGACCGAGTTAATGTGTCTGGTGAACGCTTCTACTTCCTTGGCTTGGATTTTGACCCAGGTGTCATCCACATATCGGAACCAATGGCTTGGCTTTGTTCCCTCATAGGAGTTTAGGGCTCTCTGTTCCACTTCTTCCATGTAGAGATTGGCAACAATGGGTGACACTGGAGATCCCATGGCACAGCCGTGCTTCTGTCTGTAAAAACTGTCATTGAACTTGAAATAAGTGGTGGAGAGGCAGAGATCCAACAGGGTGTAGATCTGGTCTGGGGTGAAGTTGGTCCTGTTGATTAAGTCCTTGTCTTGTAGAAGTTGTTTTCTGACGGTTTCTACTGCTTCAGAGATGGGTATGCATGTGAAAAGAGAAGTCACATCATACGATACAAGGGTTTCTCCTGGGGTTAGTTTCAAGTGTTGAACTTTGTTAGCAAAATCAATGGAGTTCTTTATGTGATGAGGCGTGTTTCCAACAAGAGGAGCTAAAATATCAGCCAGATGTTTAGCAATATTGTATGTCACTGAGTACATGCTGCTGACGATGGGTCTGAGTGGTGTTCCTTCTTTGTGGATTTTAGGAAGTCCATAAAGACAGGGAGTGGCTTCCCCTGGGTACAATCTATAATACAACGATCGATTGATTGTTTCCTCCTTTTCAAGTTTTTGCAGGTCATCTGTGACTTTCTTTTTATAGGTGCTAGTTGGGTCCCTCTTCAGGGTCTCGTAGGTGTCGCTGTCGCTCAGTAGTGTAGTTATTTTTTCCTGGTAATCAGAAGTGTTGAGGACTACTGTGCATCTTCCTTTATCAGCTGGTAAAATGGTGATGTTTTGGTCCTGGCTGAGTGATGTTACAGCTTTCCTTTCCTGTGGTGTGAGGTTTGAAGGAGGCGGTTTGGCACTGGAGAGGGTTGCTGATATTTTCATTCTGAGTTGTTCTGCCTCTGTTCTCGCCCTTCTAGTAGTCCTAATCCTCAGCTGGTGCTTCAGAAGCCACGTTGGGACTCTTGGGAACCACTTATGTAAATATCCTGATGCATGCTCAATAATCCAGGTAGAAAAATCCAAAAAAGCTCAATCTGGTCCTCTGGACATTCAAAAAAACAAAAAACAAAACAAAGCAAAAAAAATCTAGAAACGTTTCGTCTCTCATCCAAGAGACTTCCTCAGTCAGTTTTGTTTTTTGTTTTTTTGAATGTCCAGAGGACCAGATTGAGCTTTTTTGGCGCTTGTGTAAATGTGTCTTGTTTTTTCTGCTCATCGTTAGTCTTACTGTTTTTCAACGTTTTCATTCAGAACGATCCAGTTCTGATCATCTTTTCCTCAGATCCTAAACTGGAAGAGAATAGAGCCACCTGATTAAAGTCAGTTTTTGGTATTTTATGCTGTTTAGATTGATATGATTATGAACTTCCTGAGTCAGTGTTTCCAGATTTGAACATGTTGGGTTAAACAGCTGCTTTTTGTCTTGTTTCATCTCTGCAGGGGAAAGAGTTTAACGGAGTTCGTATTCCTGTTGACACAACCAGACCCAACCCCAACGAGGTGGAGTTCGATAACTTGTATTTGGACATGAATGGGATCATCCACCCCTGTACACATCCAGAGGACAAGTAGGAAGACCATCTTTGATTTAAGGACCAGTTTGCTATGTTACACGCATTTTTTCAGTTTACAGCTCAGGTTTGCTTAGTGAAACTTCTGGTGAAGCTGATAATGAGTTTTCTGATGTTTTAATTCAGGTTAAAACTGCCCAGAACAAGTTTTTTTAAAACATTTGATTTTTGGTTATTCACCTTAGACTCTGATGGCTATCTTGTAAGAAATGCAAGAAAAGTGATTTAGAAATCTCTAATATGTTTCATTCTTGTTTTTCATAGACCTGCACCGAAAAATGAGGATGAAATGATGGTTGCCATTTTTGAGTACATCGATCGGCTGTTCAACATCGTGCGTCCCCGGAGAGTTCTCTACATGGCTATTGATGGAGTGGTACGATTCTGACACACAGGAAGTCCAGGCTGACTGAGCTCTGAGTTCTGAAGCTTTCTGAAGGTTATGACCAGAGTTTACCAACAAAATCTGCTTGGGCTCTAGAATATTTTTAGGCAGATGCTGCAGGGGGCCAGATCTTTCATGTAAAAAATATACAAATTATTTTTGTCAATAATAATAATAATCTTCTTTCCCCCTTCGTTCCCTCTTCAGGGGTCTCCACAGCAAATCATCCTCCTCCTTCTCACTCTGTCCTCTGTCCTCACTCCAACTACCTCCATGTCCTCTCTAACTGCATCCATACATCTCCTCTTTGTCTTTTTCCTGGCAGCTGCATTTCTAACATCCTTCTATGAATATATCCACTGTCCCCCCACTGGACATGTCCAAATCACTGTCCGTCCTCCGGACATGTCCAAATCACCAAAAAAAATAAATAAATAAACACTTGGTCCGAAATCTGGTCTCAGGGGCAGCATCTTGAGCAGGGCGGTCCAGACATCTCTCTCCACAGCCTCTTCCAGCTCTTCTGGGAGGATTCCAAGGTGTTCCCAGGCCAACTGAGAGACGTAGTCTCTCCAGCGTGTCCTGGGTTTTCCCTGAGGTCTCCTCCCTGTCGGACATGCCCGAAGCACCTCCCTAGGGAGGCATCCAGGGGGCATCCTTACCAGATGCCCGAACCACCTCAACTGGCTCCTCTGGATGTGGAGGAGCAGTGGTTCTACTCAGAGTCTCTCCTGATAACTAAACTTCTCGCCCTGTCTCTAAGGGAGAGTGCAGCTACCCTGCAGAGGAAACTCATTTCAACCTCTTAAATCCACGATCTCATTCTTTCAGTCTCTACCCAGAGTGCGTGACCAGAGGTGAGGGGAGGAACGTAGACTGACCGGTAAACGGAGAGCTTTGCCTTACAGCTCAGCTCCCTCTTCAATTCAATTCAGTTTATTTCTATAGCGCCAAATCATACCATACCATACCATACCAATTTATTTATATAGCACTTAAAACAGCAACAAGGCCAACCAAAGTGCTGTACAAAAGAAAACAAACATGCACAGCAGACAGGAAAACATAAAATAGAAATACAGATACAAATAGCAGCAGAAGCTAACTAAAATGGCCAACAGAGTAGAGAACAGACCGGGCCAAAACAAATCACACCGTGTTAAAGGCAAGCGAATAGAAGTGGGTCTTCAAGCGAGACTTAAAGACTGAGAGTGTGGGAGCCTGCCGGACACTCAGTGGC